TGTCGTTTTCAGGGGTCAGCTTCAGTTAGCAACGATACAATTTCGGTGGTAGTCGAGTCTGAGGTCAGTGTGTAATGTTAAGATTTCTATTTGACGAGTCCACACATGACATCGCGTCCACTGTTCCCAGCAAATCGTTGAATGATAAAGAAACAAGACAATCTAGTGGTGAAAAGTTCTCAGATCGACTCACTTCCCACAGTCAGTGTTTCAATGACAAAAAATTAGAAAACTGATTTTGACAAGTAGGCAGGACTTTTCAACGTCTTCGTTCCTTTAATGCAGTGTCATGGCAGTTAGGATTTCTATTATTTTGGCTTAACAAACGAGGTGCGAAAAATTATTATTATTATTATTATTATTATTATCCTGTAACTTATCAACCAACGGAAAATTTCACGATGAACCAGATCACCATCACATTAAGCGGCATTTTTTGTCGCGTTCATTACGAGTCCAGCCGATTTTCATTACAAGACAAGCAACGTTTATACAAAGACTTATAATCTTTTGTAGATTTATATATTTTTATACTTGAAAAAAATGTTTAAATATAACTTGAAGAAAACAGACATTCTGTTGAAATATGATTTGTTATTAAATTATAAAATTAATTGAAGAAAATTTAATAGTATTTTAATTTTTTTTTATTTTTGCATCTTCGAAAGGTAAATAAAAGTCAATAAAAATTGCAGAAAATATCTTCATTTGTAAGAATTACTAGGTAGTTAAAAAAAAAGTGCGTTCACTTAGATTTCTGAAAATTATGTCATTTATGGTCATCCATAGTAGTTGTCATCAGACGCTGGATCAGATGAACAGGACAGATCGTTAATTATTGGTTGTATATTATTTTTTATGCTATAAGTAAGTAATATTTCTTTCAAATCAGATTAATTTATCTTTAAATTGTTTATTTTACTAAAATAACGTGTCAGAAATTTTTTTCAAATATTTTTAAAATCGATAAATTTTTTTTGTTTACAGATTTCTTAAAATTAAGAAAATGGCCGTTTTTATGAAAATTTTAAGAAATCAAAATTAAATTTGACATTCCAATCTATATAATTTCTATCTGAAATACACCAGAATTGTTTACTTAATGGAATTAATAAATTTAATCATTAAGCTTTTAATTAAATCTAAAATGAAATCTTCAAGAATGTTTTTTTTTTCATTTAAAAAAAATCATTTTAAACTTAGGTATCGAAAATCTATGCCGAAAATGTGGAGGTAGCTATGTTTAACATAGTCAAACACTGTTTTTATTTTCTTTATCTTTTCTTAAATCGTGCTCTTCTCTAAACTATTATTATTATTATTATTATTATTATTATTATTATTATTATTATTTCCTTTGATTTCTTGTGTGTACTCATTTCTTTCCTGGTCGCGACCAGAGATCTAAGGTCAGAAATGACATCATGACTTTTTTTACTGAGCAATAAAAAAAACATATTTTACATAGATAAAGCCCTTTGTAAGGTGTGGGCTGCACTCGTGAGAACAACGTTTTTTTGTTTTTCTTTAAGGCATGGGTCACCAGAAATACCTTCAATGAGTCTATCGAAATCTTTGTTCCAATCAATCTGAGGGCTCCAACTACAACAATGTTTGTTCATGTTCTTATGTAACACGTTTTTTTGAGATTTTGATTTCAAGGTCCTTGTATTTTGATAACATTTCTAAGATCTTCAGTGTTACATTGCAGTCTACAGGGACTGCCATATCAATAACAGTTGTTTGCGGGTCTCTAATGACGATGACTGGGCGATTAGCTTTGATTGTTCTGTCTCTGTGACTTATGGGACTTCACACATATAACAACATTTCAACATCTCACATATGTACACAAATACAATTTATATTCTATTCCAGATCTTTATTAACCAAACAAAAAGACGCGTTACTTTCAAATCTGTAACCAACTTCTTGCATTCTTGTCGTTATATTAAATTAATGTTTATTTGTTGATAGTATTTTCTTTTCTACTGGAGTTTTTTTTTTTCTTTCAATGAAAAGCGTGGGATTATTCTAAATTATTCTAAATGGCCGAATTACAAGCAATCCCGCAACAATATTTTATTTTATTTTTTTATCAAATCCCGACACTCCGATTTTTAAAATTTAACAAAAACCCGTGTAGAAAGATTCCAAAATTAACAAAAACTACAATCGTTGTCATTTGTTCGATATGAAAAAAAAATTGAATTGTGTTTGGCTGAGATTGTATTTGTTAAAATGGCTGCTTTATAGCCTCGGCTGTATATGCTAATTTGAATCTTTTTTCCTCAGTTGGTAAACATTGTTTCTTTATCACTTGACGTGAATGTTCATTCATGATAGGATAAAAAAAAACAAAAAAAAAACAGGGAAATATTTTAAAGCTTATGAATATTCTTTAGAAACTTAAGAACATTTCCATTTTACAACTTTTCCTGTATACGACGGAATGGCAAATTTTGCATGTCAAGCGATCTTTCTGAGTCAACCAAATGTTACAAGGTTTGTCGACAATATTTCGTTCCGCAATCATAAGATGTTGCTGGTTAATAATCATAACAAGTGTTTTTCATTTAGATGAATGCAATTCTTATTTCTACTTATTTCTTCCTTGTTTTTTCTAAATAATCAGTATTCCTTTCTACCGTGTTTAGATTCTGTTTTTCTTTCGTTTTTACAGTGATTATGTTTGTCACTCACGGAAGTGACGTAAAAACCACTCACGTCATATCAACCACAAAACAGACAACATTAATGTCTATCTATCTATCTATCTATCTATCTATCTATCTATCTATCTATCTATCTATCCCATCCTATTCACATCTATCTATCTATCTATCTATCTATCTATCTATCTATCTATCCCATCCTATTCACATCTATCTATCTATCTATCTATCTATCTATCTATCTATCTATCTATCTATCCCAACCTATTCACATCTATCTCAGCTTATTCTCATCTATCTATCTATCTATCTATCTATCTATCTATCTATCTATCTATCTATCTATCCCATCCTATTCACATCTATCTATCTATCTATCTATCTATCTATCTATCCCAGCCTATTCACATCTATCTATCCCATCCTATTCACATCTGTCTGTCTATCTATCTATCTATCTATCTATCTATCTATCTATCTATCTATCTATCTATCCCAGCCTATTCACATCTATCTATCTCAGCTTATTCTCATCTATCTATCTATCTATCTATCTATCTATCTATCTATCTATCTATCTATCTCAGCCTATTCACATCTATCTATCTATCTGAAATTGGGCATTTTTCCTAGTAATTTTGTATCAGAAATACGTAATTTTATATATTTTTTAAATCGTTTCACCCCAAGCTAGGCAACAATGCCACTAAGACGCAATGGTTTTACTGAGAGCGAAAGAGAATAAAAAGACTTTAGTGGACAGGATTGAGGAAAGGATAAAAACAGAAGATGACAATTGACGTTGCATTTAAATTTTTGAAGATTGTAGTTATCAACGAAGTACGAAATCGGAAGGCAGTTCCGCAGGTGGGAAGTGCGAGAAGAGAATCTGTTAAGATTAGAAGTGGCTGTTGCATCTAATCTAATCTATGTCCACAGTAAAACGGTAGTTTTCCAATCTAGTAGTATGCTTTAATTAATTTAGTCGGGCACCAGGATTAAAAGCTCATCAGAGCAGTTACCATGAAAACATTTGTAGAAAAAATAGAGTGAAGCCACGTGACATCGGTGAGAAAGTGAGTGAAGTCGAGATGCCAGGTGAGGGTCGACTACATTACAGACACTTCTTTGGATTTTGTCAAGAATCTTGAGATGTACAGCAGGAACACCAGACCAGATTTGGCAATAGTATCCAATGCACGGAAGAATGGTAGATTTATAAATATGCAAGAACCTTCGAAAATTTATAGCAAATGGGAGCCCAGCAAATATATAAAATTAATATCTTGAAATACATCTCTCTTCGAAAGAAAGAAAGAAAGAAAGAAAAATGAAAAAAAGAAAGAAAGAAAGAAAGAATAAAAAGAAAGAAAAAAGAAAGAAACAAAAAAGAAAGAAACAAAGAAAAAAGAAAGAAAAAAGAAAGAAAGAAAGAAAGAAAAATGAAAGAAAGAAAGAAAGAAAGAATAAAAAGAAAGAAACAAAAAAGAAAGAAACAAAGAAAAAAGAAACAAAAAAGAAAGAAAGAAAGAAAGAAAGAAAAATGAAAGAAAGAATAAAAAGAAACAAAAAAGAAAGAAACAAAAAAGAAAGAAACAAAGAAAAAAGAAAGAAAAAAGAAAGAAACAAAAAAGAAAGAAAGAAAGAAAGAAAAATGAAAGAAAGAAAGAAAGAAAAAATGAAAGAAAGAAAGAAAGAAAGAAAGAAAGAATAAAAAGAAAGAAACAAAAAAGAAAGAAACAAAGAAAAAAGAAAGAAAGAAAGAAAGAAAGAAAGAAAGAAAGAAAGAAAGAAAGAAAGAAAGAAAAATGAAAGAAAGAAAGAAAGAATAAAAAGAAAGAAAAAAGAAAGAAACAAGAAAGAAAGAAATAAAGAAAGAAAGAAAGAAAGAAAGAAAGAAAGAAAGAAAAAAGAAAGAAAGAAAGAAAGAAAGAAATCTGGTGTAACGTATTTTTGAATACCTTGAACAACAGATCTGGAATATTTTAACGATTTCTCATTTCAAAATCGTCTTTATTTACCTGATTCTATGAACGACATTTTGACACCTGCTTTGTTACAGTCAACGCTTTTACAGGTGTCTTTTTTGTTTTCTCACTGTTCATTTTGATTTCTTTCTTTGTATGTTTTCGTTTCATTTTTGTCATGGAGCATTAATTCGCGCCTCCATTTTGGGGTCTTTTAAGCACTCGTCTCAATTTGTCTTGACAACGACGGGATAAAACTCACGAAACTAATAAACAAACAAGTTAGACAAGCCGACAAACAAATAAATTGAGACGACAAAAAACGAAACGTTCTTTTAAAAGAAAAATCATTCTATGT